TTTACAGTCCATGCAGATTATTGTCCAGCATGAAATTAGCTTCAAAATGGATATAGATATGACAGGTCATGGAAATCTATTTTTCATAGGAGGGGTGTGGAGGCCTAATCCACTCTGTTACCTCCTAGCATAGGGCTGTTTGGGTTCAAACTGCTACTCAATTACTGAGGGAGGGAAATATGTCTATATTCTGGCTGTGCTGTCATTATTTCATGAGTTATGGAATATGCTGAAGTTTTAGAGTCTTGGCTGATAACCAGTCCATCAGGGATGTGTATTCTTCTGACTTCCAGCTAAGGTATTTATGACCCAATGTCTGGTAACTTTCTGGGTCCCTACAGCAGACACTTTTATGGGCCCTGTGATGCATATTGGGGGTTAGATTCTGCTAGTCCTATTACCAGGCTGATAAGGGGTGTCTAGCAGCAACTAAGATTTTGTGGGTTGTATGAGCTGAAAGGGTGAGGGAGGGGAGAGAGGAAAAGGTTACTGTAGGCATTTCTCTCTTCTGACAAAATGGCATGGAAAACTTGGGACCTGAACAAGATGGATGTCACCCAGGGGCGAACTGACCATTCAGGCACTCGGGCATTGCCCGGGGTCAGTAGGGGGCCCCATGAGATGCCCCTAATACCTTTTCATAGTCTTTTTTGGGTGTGGTTTGAGTGTGGGCGAGGACACAGGGGCCCCATGATCCCCTATTGCCCAAGGGCCCCATGAGTTGTCAGTCCACCCCTGATGTCACCTACAGCTTTTATGTGCCTAATACATACAACCATTACAGACCCCACAACATTTTTGTGCCCCCCACCACCACCACCACCATCAATGCCAGGTCAGAAGGGTCTCCTAATGATTTTAAGAGGTACCCCACATCCTGTTTTTCTGCGCCCCTCTTCACCTAAAATTCATACCAGAGTATATAGGTTTGGTATTGATTTTAAGGGGAACCCCACACCATGTTTTTTGCATGCGTGCCCCCTAAAATAAATGTCAAATCAGAAGGGTCTGGTATTGATGTTAAGAGGGACCCCACACTCAATTTGTTAGCCCCCTAAAATCTGTACAAGATTAGAAGAATCTGGAGTTGAATTTAAGAGGAGCTCCACGCAATGTTTTTTGATGTAACGCAACTGCCAACAACCCCCCCCACCCCCAAAAAAAAATCTATACCAGATCAGAAGGGTATGGCATGGATTTTAAGGGAAGCCACACTCCATTTTTTTTGTGCCCCCCTAAAATTAAGGATCTTGGGGGTCAATGGTGGAGAAGGATCTGGAGGGGGTCAATGGTGAGGAAGGATCTGGGGGGGTCAGTGGTGGGGTTCTGACAGATGGGGGTTCTAACAGATCACAAGCTCAATAATGGCAGCAATGCCAAGCTGCGGGTCCTAAAGCGAGCAAAATCCTCTCTTGTATTAGGAGAGTTATAGACTCCAGAGAGAGAGATATCACCCCCCCCCCCCGGGTACAATTCATTAGTAAGACCTCATCTGGAATATGCAGTTCAGTTTATAGTGAACTTGGTGTAGTTATTCCCCCTGAGGTCATCACAGAGGACAAGGGGGCGCTCTTTACGTCTGGAGGAAAAGAAATGTCATCTCCAAACACGGAAAGGTTTCTTCACAGTAAGAGCTGAGAATGTGGAATAGACTCCCTCCAGAGTTGGTTGTGGCCGGCTCAGTGGATTGCTGTAGGAAAGTCCTGGATCCTTTCTTGGATACACAGAATATAACTGGATATAACATTTATAGGGAAAGGTGATCCAGGGAATATCCGATTGCCTCTCGGGGGGTCAGGAAGGAATTTTTCCCCTGCAGGAGCAAATTGGATCGTACTTTGCTGGGTTTTTTGCCTTCCTCTGGATCCACTGTGGGTGTTTTCAGCCAGACTAACTATGTAACAAGCAGGAGGTGGCCCCATACTTTGTTGATTTTATTTAACATGAACTCCCTTCATTCATCGGGAGGATACTTCATATATTCTTATTAATTGCCGGTGTGAGAACAGCTGGTTTTAAGTAACGGCTCATTAAATTAACGAGCGACTAATTAACCCGGGGACACTGTGAAGACTGGCGGTGTCATACAGGTATAGTACCATTTAATTAAGTGCGTGCTTCACCCCGATACAGAATGTACATCTGCAATTACCAGAGAACTCCGCTCATTAGAAACTTCAGCGGATGCGCACTTGTTTCTGCTTCTCTCTGAATGTGAGCTGCAGAGCCGCCTGAAATAACAGATCCAAAGAAATGCCCAGAAATTGAGGACAAGCTTCTAATCAGAGAGCTATTGTTGCTTTCATTGTGTGTAATGGCCAGTTAGCATCCAAAGGGAGAGCCAGAGGCACAGACTTTCAATATTAGTCCACATTCCAAATAGTAATCAAGTGAACAGCTTCTCACCTTTTTTCTGTATTTACCAAATGCTGCCCACAATGTATCATTTTCATCAAAGTATATGGATAGAGCAGGAAATGACTAACCTCTTGCTGCCCACGTAACACACACACGATATTGCCCAACGTATCGGGCCGCCTGCCTTCCCACGCACATGACCTGTAATGGCACCCCAGTCTTTAGTCCGTAGGGTTCAATATTGAGTTGGCCCCCACCCTTCCACACACATGACCTGTATTGGCCCCCCAGTCTTAGTCCATAGGGTTCAATATTGAGTTGGCCCCGCCCTTCCCACACACATGACCTGTATTGGCCCCCCAGTCTTAGTCCATAGGGTTCAATATTGAGTTGGCCCCGCCCTTTCCACACACATGACCTGTATTGGCCCCCCCAGTCTTAGTCCATAGGGTTCAATATTGAGTTGGCCCCGCTCTTCCCACACACATGACCTTTAATGGCCCCCCAGTCTTAGTCCGTAGGGTTCAATATTGAGTTGGCCCCACCCTTCCCACGCACATGACCGTTAATGGCCCCCCAGTCTTAGTCCGTAGGGTTCAATATTGAGTTGGCCCCCCTTCCCACACACATGACCTGTATTGGGCCCCCAGTCTTAGTCCGTAGGGTTCAATATTGAGTTGGCGCCGCCCTTTCCACACACATGACCTTTAATGACCCCCCAGTCTTAGTCCGTAGGGTTCAATATTGAGTTGGCCCCGCCCTTCCCACACACATGACCTGTATTGGGCCCCCAGTCTTAGTCCATAGGGTTCAATATTGAGTTGGCCCCGCCCTTCCCACACACATGACCTTTAATGGCCCCCCAGTCTTAGTCCGTAGGGTTCAATATTGAGTTGGCCCCGCCCTTCCCACACACATGACCTTTAATGGCCCCCCAGTCTTAGTCCGTAGGGTTCAATATTGAGTTGGCCCCGCTCTTTCCACACACATGACCTTTAATGGCCCCCCAGTCTTAGTCCGTAGGGTTCAATATTGAGTTGGCCCCCACCCTATAACAGCTTCAACTCTTCTGGGAAGGCCGTCCACAAGGTTTAGGAGGGTGTCTATGGGAAGGTTGGACCATTCTTCCAGAAGCACATTTGTCAGGTCAGGCACTGATGTCGGGGGAGGAGGCCTGGCTCACAGTCTCCGCTCTAATTCATCCCAAAGGTGTTCTATGGGGTTGAGGTCAGGACTCTGTGCAGGAGAGTCAAGTTCCTCCACCCCAAACTGGCTCCTCCATGTCTTTATGGACCTTGCTTTGTGCACTGGTGGGCAGTCATGTTGGAACAGGAAGGGGCCATCCCCAAACTCCTCCCACAAAGTTGGGAGCATGAAATTGTCCAAAATGTCACCTTAAGAGTTCCCTTCCCTGGAACTAGGGGGCCAAGCCCAACCCCTGAAAAACACCCCCACACCATAATCCCCCCCTCCACCAAACCTTACACATGGCATAATGCAGTCAGGCAAGTACCGTTCTCCTGGCAACCACCAAACCCAGACACGTCCTTCGGATTGCCAGACAGAGAAGCGTGATTGGTCCCTCCAGAGAACACATCTCCCCTGCTCTAGAGTCCAGTGGCGGCGTGCTTTACACCACGGCATCCGACGCTTTGCATTGCACTTGGTGATGGAAGGCTTGGATGCAGCTGCTCGGCCATGGAAACCCATTCCATGAAGCTCTCTACGCACTGTTGTTGGGCTCATCTGAAGGCCACACCAAGTTTGGAGGTCTTTAGCTATTGACTCTGCAGACAGTTGGCGACTTCTGCGCACTGTGCGCTTCAGCATGCGCTGACCCCGCCCTGTCATGTGACGTGGCCTACCACTTGGTGGCTGAGTGGCTGTTGTTCCCAGTGGCTTCCACTTTGTTATAATCCCACTAACAGTTGAGCGTGGAATATTTAGTAGCCAGGAAATGTCACGGATGGACTTATTGCCCAGGTGGCCACCTATCACGGGACCACGCTTGGAGTCACTGAGCTCCTGAGAGCGACCCATTCTTTCAGCAATGTTTGTAGAAGCCGTCTGCATGCCTAGGGGCTTGATTGTATACACCTGTGTCCATGGAGGGGATTGGAACACCTGAATCACATGATATGGAGGGGATTGGAACACCTGAATCACATGATTGGGAGGGGATTGGAACACCTAAATCACATGATTGGGAGGGGATTGGAACACCTAAATCACATGATTGGGAGGGGATTGGAACACCTGAATCACATGATTGGGAGGGGATTGGAACACCTAAATCACATGATTGGGAGGGGATTGGAACACCTGAATCACATGATATGGAAGGGATTGGAACACCTGAATCACATGATATGGAGGGGATAGGAGCACCTGATTCACATGATATGGAGGGGATTGGAACACCTGAATCACATGATATGGAGGGGATTGGAACACCTGATTCACATGATATGGAGGGGATTGGAACACCTGAATCACATGATATGGAGGGGGATTGGAACACCTGAATCACATGATATGGAGGGGATTGGAACACCTGAATCACATGATATGGAGGGGATTGGAACACCTGAATCACATGATATGGAGGGGATTGGAACACCTGAATCACATTATATGGAGGGGATTGGAATACCTGAATCACATGATTGGGAGGGGATTGGAACACCTGAATCACATGATATGGAGGGGATTGGAATACCTGAATCACATGATTGGGAGGGGATTGGAACACCTAAATCACATGATTGGGAGGGGATTGGAACACCTGAATCACATGATATGGAAGGGATTGGAACACCTGAATCACATGATATGGAGGGGATAGGAGCACCTGATTCACATTATATGGAGGGGATTGGAACACCTGAATCACATGATATGGAGGGGATTGGAACACCTGATTCACATGATATGGAGGGGATTGGAACACCTGAATCACATGATATGAAGGGGATTGGAACACCTGAATCACATGATATGGAGGGGATTGGAACACCTGAATCACATGATATGGAGGGGATTGGAACACCTGAATCACATGATATGGAGGGGATTGGAACACCTGAATCACATTATATGGAGGGGATTGGAATACCTGAATCACATGATTGGGAGGGGATTGGAACACCTGAATCACATGATATGGAGGGGATTGGAACACCTGAATCACATGATTGGGAGGGGATTGGAACACCTAAATCACATGATTGGGAGGGGATTGGAACACCTGAATCACATGATATGGAAGGGATTGGAACACCTGAATCACATGATATGGAGGGGATTGGAAACACCTGAATCACATTATATGGAGGGGATTGGAACACCTGAATCACATGATATGGAGGGGATTGGAACACCTGAATTCACATGATATGGAGGGGATTGGAACACCTGAATCACATGATATGAAGGGGATTGGAACACCTGAATCACATGATATGGAGGGGATTGGAACACCTGAATCACATGATATGGAGGGGATTGGAACACCTGAATCACATGATATGGAGGGGATTGGAACACCTGAATCACATTATATGGAGGGGATTGGAATACCTGAATCACATGATTGGGAGGGGATTGGAACACCTGAATCACATGATATGGAGGGGATTGGAACACCTGAATCACATTATATGGAGGGGATTGGAACACCTGAATCACATGATTGGGAGGGGATTGGAACACCTGAATCACATTATATGGAGGGGATTGGAATACCTGAATCACATGATTGGGAGGGGATTGGAACACCTGAATCACATGATTGGGAGGGGATTGGAACACCTAAATCACATGATTGGGAGGGGATTGGAACACCTGAATCACATGATTGGGAGGGGATTGGAACACCTAAATCACATGATTGGGAGGGGATTGGAACACCTGAATCACATGATATGGAAGGGATTGGAACACCTGAATCACATGATATGGAGGGGATAGGAGCACCCTGATTCACATGATATGGAGGGGATTGGAACACCTGAATCACATGATATGGAGGGGATTGGAACACCTGATTCACATGATATGGAGGGGATTGGAACACCTGAATCACATGATATGAAGGGGATTGGAACACCTGAATCACATGATATGGAGGGGATTGGAACACCTGAATCACATGATATGGAGGGGATTGGAACACCTGAATCACATGATATGGAGGGGATTGGAACACCTGAATCACATTATATGGAGGGGATTGGAATACCTGAATCACATGATTGGGAGGGGATTGGAACACCTGAATCACATGATATGGAGGGGATTGGAATACCTGAATCACATGATTGGGAGGGGATTGGAACACCTAATCACATGATTGGGAGGGGATTGGAACACCTGAATCACATGATATGGAAGGGATTGGAACACCTGAATCACATGATATGGAGGGGATAGGAGCACCTGATTCACATTATATGGAGGGGATTGGAACACCTGAATCACATGATATGGAGGGGATTGGAACACCTGATTCACATGATATGGAGGGGATTGGAACACCTGAATCACATGATATGAAGGGGATTGGAACACCTGAATCACATGATATGGAGGGGATTGGAACACCTGAATCACATGATATGGAGGGGATTGGAACACCTGAATCACATGATATGGAGGGGATTGGAACACCTGAATCACATTATATGGAGGGGATTGGAATACCTGAATCACATGATTGGGAGGGGATTGGAACACCTGAATCACATGATATGGAGGGGATTGGAATACCTGAATCACATGATTGGGAGGGGATTGGAACACCTAAATCACATGATTGGGAGGGGATTGGAACACCTGAATCACATGATATGGAAGGGATTGGAACACCTGAATCACATGATATGGAGGGGATAGGAGCACCTGATTCACATTATATGGAGGGGATTGGAACACCTGAATCACATGATATGGAGGGGATTGGAACACCTGATTCACATGATATGGAGGGGATTGGAACACCTGAATCACATGATATGAAGGGGATTGGAACACCTGAATCACATGATATGGAGGGGATTGGAACACCTGAATCACATGATATGGAGGGGATTGGAACACCTGAATCACATGATATGGAGGGGATTGGAACACCTGAATCACATTATATGGAGGGGATTGGAATACCTGAATCACATGATTGGGAGGGGATTGGAACACCTGAATCACATGATATGGAGGGGATTGGAACACCTGAATCACATTATATGGAGGGGATTGGAATACCTGAATCACATGATTGGGAGGGGATTGGAACACCTGAATCACATTATATGGAGGGGATTGGAATACCTGAATCACATGATTGGGAGGGGATTGGAACACCTGAATCACATGATTGGGAGGGTGGGCCCAAAACTTTGGGCAATATAGTTAATAAATATATATTTATATATCATGCCAGTGGATGTTGTTTGTGGTTGTTTTTTTTTTTTTTTTAATCCTCGGCTTGATTGTATACACCTGGGGCCATGGAGGCAATTGGAACACCTGAATCACATGATTGGGCAATATAGTGTATTTATGATATGGGGCGGCACAGTGGCTTAGTGGTTAGCACGCTTGCCTTGCAGTAAAAAGGTCATGGGTTCGATTCCCGACCATTGCGCCTCCTGCATGGTGTTTGCATGTTCTCCCTGTTCCTGTGTGGGTTTCCTCCTACACTCCAAAGACATGCTGGTAGGTTGATTGGCTCCTGTCTAGATTGGCTCTAGTATGTGTATGTATGAATGTGAGTTAGGGACCTTAGATTGTATGCTCCTCGGGGGGATTGGACTAATGTGAATGTACAATATGTATGTAAAGCGCTGCGTAAATTGATGATGCTATACAAGTACCTGAAATAAATATCAACTGCCCTAGTGGAGTCCAGCATCTATTTGCCTTTAGTCTTGCATCACATGACTGGAGACACATCCTTTGTTCTTCGATTATCTGAAGTAAAGTTTCGTTGGATTGAACTTGTGTGTCCTAATGAAGAGTCAAGCTGCCTGTGGATGATGCCAAGTCAGCAGGTGACCATATAGTCCGAGCAGACTGGATCTAAGGAGGTATTTCCAGTGGTGTATTTAGGTGTTGTGCTGCCCTAGGCAACACAAAAATTGGCGCCCCCCCCAAGAGAGAGCCTGACATTGACCAACAACACCCTTGACTCCCACCTGAGAGAGCCTTCCACTACTACTGCCCCCCTACACCAGCCACCCTCCCCCATGGCGAGAGAGAGAAAGCCACACATTCACAGCTCCGGACATCCCCGGGAACAAGAGGTGGGCTGTGCATACACCGTCCTGAAACCTGCAACCTCTCTCGGAACCCACCAGGTCCCCATGCCACGTGTGTCCCTTCTTTCGAGGGGCAGTGCTGCCCCCCCTGAATAACGCCGCCCTAGGCAAATGCCTTGTTTGCCTTGTGGTGAATACACCTCTGGGTATGTCAATGGATAAAGCGGCCTTTAAAAGAGAACGAAAAACAAAAAGCGAGGAAGTTTTGCCTCCACAGTCACTGGGCTGTAACATGCGGAGAGCTGGGTTGATGTGATGTCGGCCATTCCTGCTCGTTTTCCTGCGGCAGAGCATGCTGCTTGAGCTGGCCACCTCAGGTGTCCTCATTAGAAGCCCACGTGTAGGTCGCGCAGTGTTCTGCAGAGAAGGGCGAGCGCGGTAAACACTTCACAGGGTCCTGGTTAGTAACAATGCCGATTTCGGGGGAGGGGAGGGCCGAAAACTCCTGAGACTGAAGGACATGAGAGCACAGAGAGATCGCCAATTACCGCCGCTCGGGACCCCTTCTCGCTCACAGCGTGGAGCGGCGCTTGTTGTCAGAGCTACAATGGCGCCGGCGGAGCCGGAGAACCGGCAAAAATAAAAAAGAAATATAAAAACCTTTTAATATGGCCGAGGAGAAGCAGAAAGATGGAAGACGTAAAGAGCTGCATTTAAAGGACTCTTTGTGTAAAATCCCATTTACTTCGCTGAAAGCTGGATGCCAGACAAACACGCTAAATACACGGATGGAATACATACAAGAGAGCTGCCAGAGGAATTGTATTTCTGTCCATCCAGTCCTGAGAGTTACACAGCTCCGCCACACAGCACACGCACACACGACATGACTCTTCTCTATTGCAGTTTAGTAACACAACTAGGTCTTGTCCCCACCCCCAGCCTGTGATTGGACAGTGAAGGACAAGCAACACACTGGTGAGCTCTTCTTCTCCCTGTCACTCTGCTCTCTCCCTCTAGCAGCATGCTCCTTGTCATCACATGGGCACTGCAGCACAACTGAACCCTTGTATTGCTCCTCTGTAAAGAGATTTCATGTCCAGTCACCTTCGGATACTTACACTAATTACATTTAGAAAAAAAAAAAAAATCAATTTAACCCACATGATATGGAGGGGATTGGAACACCAGAATCACATGATATGGAGGGGATTGGAACACCAGAATCACATGATATGGAGGGGATTGGAACACCAGAATCACATGATATGGAGGGGATTGGAACACCAGAATCACATGATATGGAGGGGATTGGAACACCTGAATCACATGATATGGAGGGGATTGGAACACCAGAATCACATGATATGGAGGGGATTGGAACACCTGAATCACATGATATGGAGGGGATTGGAACACATGAATCACATGATATGGAGGGGATTGTATCACCTGAATCACAGGATATGGAGGGGATTGGAGCACCTGAATCACATGATATCGAGGGGTTCGGAGCACCTGAATCACATGATATGGAGGGGATTGGAAAACCTGAATCACATGATATGGAGGGGATTGGAACACCTGAATCACATGATATGGAGGGGATTGTATCACCTGAATCACATGATTGGGAGGGGATTGGAACACCTGAATCACAGGATATGGAGGGGATTGGAGCACCTGAATCACATGATATGGAAGGGATTGGAACACCTGAATCACATGATATGGAGGTCATTGGAACACCTGAATCACATGATATGGAGGGGATTGTAACACCTGAATCACATGATATGGAGGGGATTTTAACACCTGAATCACATGATTGGGAGGGGATTGGAACACCTGAATCACATGATATGGAGGGGATTGGAACACCTGAATCACATGATATGGAGGGGATTGGAACACCTGATTCACATGATATGGAGGGGATTGGAGCACTTGAATCACATGATATGGAAGGGATTGGAGCACCTGAATCACATGATATGGAGGGGATTGGAATACCTGAATCACATGATATGGAGGGGATTGCAGCACTTGAATCACATGATATGGAGGGGATTGGAGCACCTGAATCACATGATATGGAGGGGATTGGAACACCTGAATTACATGATATGGAGGGGATTGGAACACCTGAATCACATGATATGGAGGGGATTGGAACACCTGAATCACATGATAGGGAGGGGATTGGAACGCCTGAATCACATGATATGGAGGGGATTGGAACACCTGAATCACATGATTGGGAGGGGATTGGAACACCTGAGTCACATGATTGGGAGGGGATTGGAACACCTGAATCACATGATATGGAGGGGATTGGAACACCTGAATCACATGATTGGGAGGGGATTGGAACACCTGAGTCACATGATTGGGAGGGGATTGGAACACCTGAATCACATGATTGGGACTGGGTAACACAACTAGGTCTTGTCCCCATCCCCAGCCTTGGTGCCGAGCGGCCGCATATTTGTGTGCGATTAGAAAATACATATGTGCTGAGAGCGCGCGCCCTGCATGCTCCCGGCGCGTAATTATTATTTATTTATTATTACAGGTACTTATATAGCGCCGTCAATTTACACAGCGCTTTACCTATCTATTTTACATTCCCATCAGGCCCCGCCCCCAAGGAGCATACAATCTACTCACACATACACATACTAGGGACAATTTAGACAGGAGCCGATTCACCTCCCAGCATGTCTTTGGAGTGTCCACAACTCCCGGAAAGGTCCCGATCGAAAGGGGACCTTTTCTGATCATGTGACCGCCGTGACAGCGAATCACGGCGGACACATGACCCTAAAACCCCGCCCACCTCCTGGCTTCGGGAGATGCGAGCGCTAAGAGGTTAATAATGTGCTCATAAACCACGTCAATGTTTTAAATTTTTTCCCTCAGCATTGTTTTTGCTAGACAATGTACTCAGAACCCCCAAACATTAGATATTTTCTAAAAATCAGAGGCCCTGGAGAATAAACAGTGGCCGTTGAAGTTTTCATCACATGATATTTGTGCAGATATTTACCGAACACAAATGAAAAAAATAAAAAAAAATGCCAAATTGAATTTTAGCACACAAAAAAAACACAATATAATACCAGATTCATTGGTAACATAAAAACAGGATGTTGCATCGAGTAAATAGATACCAAACATGTCAAGATTTCATTTTGTGCACCTTTGTGAAACGGCGATAAATTCCAGTAAATAAAATTGTTGGTGACGCTTTAAAGCCTTTACAGGTTATCAGGTTAAAGCTAACCATAAATTATGGCCCTAGAATTATCGCTCTCACTGCGGCGTTCGTGGCGATACCTCCCACGTGCGGTGCGACCGCTGTTTATATATGCGTACCGAACCTACCAGTACGTATTCATTTGCATAAATGCATGGGGGGATGGGGGGTTCTTTAAAAAAAAAAAAAATATATATATATATATTTGCTTTAATTTTATTTACTTTCATTATTAGTAGTAGTAATATTATTTTTATTATTTAAATTGAATTTATTTTTAATTTGATACACTTTTAATTTTATTTATTATTTTATTTATTTTTATTTTTCATGTAACTTTATTGCTATCACTGGGGGGGGGGGAGCTAACAAGCTGTGGGCAGGTGCTGTCTATTGGACCCCCAATGTCTCCCCTGCTCTCCAAAGCAGCTAACCAAACACAGATGGTGCTTTATTAGCTGCTTCCCTGTAACAGCCCGGGAATGACGGCTCACTGCCACGTTCGTGGCGATGCCTCACACGTGTGGTGCGACCACCATTTATATATGCGTACTGAACCTACAAGTATGTTTACGTTTGAAGAATGCATGGGGGGTTCTTATAAAAAAAAAAATATATATTTATTTTATTTACTTTTATTATTATTATTGTTATTATTATTATTAGTAGTAGTAGTATTAATATTATTTTATTATTTAAATGTATTTTTTAATTACATTTATTTTTTATTTTATATATTTTTAATTGTATTAATTATTTTATTTATTTATTTTTTCATTTCACTTTACTGCTATCACTGGGGGGGGGGGGCTATAAAGCCCCCTTACGATAGCTGTGGGCGGGTGCTGTCTATTGGACCCCCGATGTCTCCCCTGCCCTCCAAAGCAGCTAACCAAACACAGATGGTGCTTTATTAGCTGCTTCCCTGTAGTAGAACGGGCATGACGGCTCTGAAACAGGAAGTGACAAAATCGCTTCCAGGCTCATTCATCATGGATGTTCCTCCAGCTCCTCTGTGTGAAGCCGTCTCAGCCGTGTACCGAAGTCCCCACTCCCCGGAAGGACCGTGAGAACCCAGGAACCATGCCAGGCGACAGTGGGGGCCATTCACAGTGCCGTAAAAGTGATCAGGTGGCTATAAAGCAACCCGGATCACTTTTACAAAAACTGATATCAAGATCCTAGCTGCACCTGCGTGGGGGCATGGGGGCGCTCTTATTTTTTTTTTAAATTTTTATATTATTTAAATTTATTTTTTGCAATTTTCTTTTAGATTTTTTATTTCATTCAAGTTTATTGCTATCACATGGGGTCTGTCAAGCCCTCTTTTTATAGCCATAGGCAGGTGACAGGTGCTCTTTGTACCTTTTGGACCCCGGATGTCTCCCCTACCCTCCAAAGCAGCTAACCAAACACAGATTGTGCTTTATTAGCTGCTTCCCTGGGCGAGGGATTAACAGATCTGAAGTGATGCAATCATCGTCTCTCCCGGGTTCGTTCATTACTGAGGAGATCAGGGAATGGCTGTTCCTCCATCTCCTCTTTGTGAAGCCTTACCTCAGTCCCCCCAAAGAACAGGAGGGATAGGGAACCACTATGGGCAGTAGGGGGGAGGGGCCGTTATAGCACTGTACAAGTGATCGGGCGGATGTAAAGCCGGCCAGATCACCTTTGCAAGCAGCTGATTGGAAGTTGGAAAAGACAACAACAAGATCATGGTAGCCCCTTGCTGATAGGACATTTATAGACGTGCGTCAGTCAGCAAGTGGTTAATGGGGTTCGGCTTTAAATGTGATATCCAGTTCTAGGATAGAGAGGAGGACGATTTGAGTCCCTGTCACTTTTTTCTGCTCTCTCTATCTGGCTGAGGACATTTTTCTACTCTAGCTGTCAAAGTGCCGGCAGAAAATGAGAAATCTCCCTTGGCTGTCACCACAACAGGTATCCCTCCGAAGATCTCCCCTGACCTTCTCTTCTGGTGACAACTGTAAAATTGTGGATTTCTCATCACTTTCTGTTCCAGAGAGGAGGGAACCTCCAAGCGGAAACAACGGCAGTAATAAAATACGGAACCCGTTTTAGGTGAATTCTTCTTGTTTTTGAGTTTCGTGCTCCTAGTGAACCATCACCTACCTATGCAGCCAGTTCTGGGGTGGGTGCAAGGCCTACAGTGATGCTGGATAGGTTGACCATTCTCAATCAGGGTTTCATGGAAAACTTAGGTTCCTCCAGAGATTTCTTGGGGTTCCTTGAGTTGATTTGATGGTGGTGGCATAGCACCAAGGCCAATGTAAGATGGCGGAACCAGTGCCATGACTTCAATGATCTTTGTGGCTGTCTGTAAGGGTTGCACTCTTGCAACAAATGCAGGATGGACATTCTTCCTCTTGACCACCATTGTTAGAGGAGCATTCTTTGTCACTGACCCGCAAGGTAAAAGGAACTCTTCCCACTGACCACCAATGACATTCTTCCTATTGACCACCACTGTTAAGGGGGACATTCTTTCCACTGACTACCAATGTAAGGGGCGTTCTTCCCACTGACCCCCAATGTAAGGGACATTCTTCCCACTGACTACCAATGTAAGGGGCGTTCTTCCCACTGACCCCCAATGTAAGGGACATTCTTCCCACTGACCACCAATGTAAGGGGCGTTCTTCCCACTGACCACCAATGTAAGGGACATTCTTCCCACTGATCACCAATGTAAGGGACATTCTTCCCACTGATCACCAATGTAAGGGACATTCTTCCCACTGATCCCCAATGTAAGGGACATTCTTCCCACTGATCACCAATGTAAGGGACATTCTTCCCACTGATCACCAATGTAAGGGACATTCTTCCCACTGACCCCCAATGTAAGGGACATTCTTCCCACTGACCACCAATGTAAGGGACATTCTTCCCACTGACCCCCAATGTAAGAGACATTCTTCCCACTGACCCCCAATGTAAGGGACATTCTTCCCACTGACCCCCAATGTAAGGGACATTCTTCCCACTGACCACCACTGTTAGGAGGGAATTCTTACCACTGACCACCAATGTAAGGGAGACATTGTTCCCATTGACCACCACTGTTCAGAAGGCATTCTTCCCATTGAACAACACTGTTGGGGGGGTATTCTGCCTACTGACCACCACTGTCCGGGGGGCATTCTTCACTATGACCACCACTGCTAGGGGCGTGTTTTTCCCCACTAACCAACAATGAAAGGGTGGGGGGCTTCTCCCTTTTGACCACCACCGCCAGGGGGACACTTCATATTGACCCCACTATTAGGGGGCATCATTCCCACTGACTACGAATGTAAGGAAGGCATTCCTCCTATTGGCCATCACTGCTAGGGAGGCATTCTTCCTACTGACCTCCCTTGTAAGAGGGCATTTCCCAACTGACCACCAATGTGAAAGGGGGGAGGGGACATTCTTCCTATTTACCTCAAATGTTGGAAACAGTCTTTCTCTCACTGTTTATGATTTGAGGAATCTCTATGGTGACTGAGGAGCCTGCCCTAAGCTGTCTGTCCTTCACAGGAACCCTTCCCTATGCTTTTCACTCTCCGCCAAAGTAATGTGGGGTTCTTTATTTAAAAGGTTCCCCTCAACCAAAATGGCTGCCAAAGAGTTCAGCATCCAATGAGACCACTTTTCCCAAGGGACTGTATGGAACCTCAAAGGCAGCCTTTCTCAAAGTTTCCAACACAGGGGAACCCTTGAAATAACTTTCCGGTCTCAGGGAACCCCCTGCTAAAAATTACTATATCTACATCTCATGATGCATTAGTGTGACGATCAGCGGGAAGAATGTCCCTTACATTGGTGGTCAGTGGGAAGAATGTCCCTTACATTGGGGGTCAGTGGGAAGAATGTCCCTTACATTGGGGGTCAGTGGGAAGAATGTCCCTTACATTGGGGGTCAGTGGGAAGAATGTCCCTTACATTGGGGGTCAGTGGGAAGAATGTCCCTTACATTGGGGGTCAGTGGGAAGAATGTCCCTTACATTGGGGGTCAGTGGGAAGAATGTCCCTTACATTGGGGGTCAGTGGGAAGAATGTCCCTTACATTGGGGGTCAGCGGGGAGAATGTCCCTTACATTGGAGGTCAGTGGGAAGAATGCTCCTTACATTGGGGGTCAGTGGGAAGAATGTCCCTTACATTGGGGGTCAGTGAGAAGAATGTCCCTTACATTGGGGGTCAGTGGGAAGAATGTCCCTTACATTGGTGATCAGAGGGAAGAATGTCCCTTACATTGGGGGTCAGTGAGAAGAATGTCCCTTACATTGGGGGTCAGTGGGAAGAATGTCCCTTACATTGGGGGTCAGTGGGAAGAATGTCCCTTACATTGGTGATCAGAGGGAAGAATGTCCCTTACATTGGGGGTCAGTGGGAAGAATGTCCCTTACATTGGGGGTCAGTGGGAAGAATGTCCATTACATTGGGGGTCAGTGGGAAGAATGTCCCTTACATTGGTGGTCAGAGGGAAGAATGTCCCTTACATTGGGGGTCAGCGGGAAGAATGTCCCTTACATTGGGGGTCAGTGGGAAGAATGTCCCTTACATTGGTGGTCAGAGGGAAGAATGTCCCTTACATTGGGGGTCAGTGGGAAGAATGTCCCTTACATTGGTGGTCAGTGGGAAGAATTATGCCTCACAGATAGCTAAAAGGATCAAGGGTATCATGGGAACTTATCTGAGAGGCAGAAATTGCTCAAGGAACCTTTAGCAACCTGTGGAGGAACCCTAGGAGTTCATCGCAATCCTGGATGAGAAACTCTGATCTAAAGGCTCAATTCCCTCAAGAGAGCCCAATTCCTATGCAATAATGGTATACACCCCCCTACAGGTGAGAAGGCTAACTGCACCTGCCTACTTACAGTGAAGGAAATGCGTATTTGCTCCCCGGCTGATGGTGAATGTTCGCCCCTCACACAGAAATGATCGGTCTAACAATGGAATGTTCGCCCCTCACACAGAAATGATCGGTCTAACAATGGAATGTTCGGTGTAACACTGAGAGACAGAATACAACAACAAATTCAGCAGAAATGCGTCTAACAAATGATGACTGATCTGCATGTTTATGAGGGAAAGAAGGATTTGATCCCCTTCACAAAACATGACTTAGTACTTGGTGGCAAATCCCTTGTTGGCAATCACAGAGGTCAGACGTTCCCTGGAGTTGGCCCCCAGCTTCGCACACATCTCAGGAGGGATTTTGGCCCACTCCTCTTGGCAGATCCTCTCCAAGTCATTAAGGTTTGGTGGCTGACGTTTGGCATCTCGAACTTTCAGCTCCTCCACAGATTTTCCATCGGATGAAGGTCTGGAGACTAGCTAGGCCACTCCAGGACCTTAATGTGCTTCTTCTTGAGCCGCTCCTTTGCTGCCTTGGCCGTGTGTTTTTGGGTCATTGTCATGCTGGAACACCCATCCACCACCCATTTTCAATGCCCTGGCTGAGGGAAGAAGGTTCTCACCCAAGATTTGATGGTACATTGCCCCGTCCATCGTCCCTTTGATGCGGTGCAGTTGTCCTGTCCCCTTAGCAGAAAAATAGACCCAAAGCAGAATGCTTCCACCACCATGTTTCACAGTTGGGATGGTGTTCTTGGGGGTCATAGGCAGCATTCCTCCTCCTCCAAACACGGCGAGTTGAGTTGATGCCAAAGAGCTGGATTTTGGTCTCATCTGACCACAACACTTCCCACCAGTCCTCCTCTGCATCATTCAGATGTTCAGTGGCAGACTTCAGACGGGCCTGGACATGGGCTTTCTTGAGCAGAGGGACCGTGCGGGCACTGCAGGATTTCAGTCCTTGTCGGCGTAGTGTGTTACCAATTGTTTTCTTGGTGACTGTGGTCCCAGCTGCCTGGAGATCATTGACAAGATCCTCGTGTAGTTCTGGGATGATTCCTCACATGTTCTCATGATCATTGACACTCCACCAGGTGAGATCTTGCATGGTGCACCAGACCTAGGGAGACTGACACTTGTTTTGTGTTTCTTCCATTTGTGAATGATTGCACCAACTGTTGTCACCTTCTCACCAAGCTGCTTGGCCATAGTTTGGTAGCCCAGTCCAGCCTTGTGTAGGTCTACCATCTTGTCCCTGACATCCTTGGACAGCTCTTTGGTCTTTGCCATGGTGGAGAGTTTGGAATCTGATGGTTTGATGGCTCCTGTGGACAGGTGTCTTTTATACAGGAAACACAATGAGATTAGCAGCACTCCCTTTAAGAGACTGCTTCTAATCTCAGCTTGTTACCTGTATGAGAGACACCTGGGAGCCAGAAATTCTGCTGAATGATAGGGGATCAAATCCTTCTTTCCCTCATGAACATGCAGATCAGTCATCATTTGTTAGACGTATTTCTGCTGAATTTGTTGTTGTATTCTGTCTCTCAGTGTTACACCGAACATTCGATTTTTAGACCGATCGTTTCTGTGTGAGGGGCGAACATTCACCATCAGCCGGGGAGCAAATATGCATTTCCTTCACTGTACATGTATACAGCAACTGATGCTTCAGGGACATGTAAGTCCCCTTTATCTAGAGGTCCTGCAACTGGGTAGATGGAAACCTGCAGGTCGATCGTTGAACACATGTACTGTATGTGCGTTTGAGCTGAATGTTCTTTTTGACTTGGTCATCTGCTTTTTTTATTTGCAACAAGATTGCCTGGAGACACTTCAGGTTACCTTCTGACCTCTTTGAAAATGCCATTTTATAAACCAAGAAAGCAGATTTCCATAAGCCGGCTGTGTGGAGAATCCTTCATATTCTTGGCCCTTTCTGACCTCCTGATCACCTTGTGCCCTCCTAAGCTGCTTCGGTCTGCTCTTCCATTCACATTGATTTGTATGGGGAGAAAGGAAGTTCTAATGCAAACAAATGCCGTGTATACAATCCCCGACACCCCCACACCGCCATCGTTTTCATCCGCTATCAGTGGAGCTCTATTGACCTCCGTAGTGAACAGAGGCTCCTTGTGTGTTACCATAGAAGTCTTCATACAAAGTTGGTTTTCTAGGCTTTGAACTCCAGAGAATGCAGCGATGTGGTCGCTTTTACTGAATCCTTCTATCAAAAAGGTTGAAGAACTAAGTAAAGAAGCAAATGTCCATTCAAGCAAGATTGCATTGAGTTACCTCCTCGTCATTGTGAGCATTCTGGAAGCCTTTTGATCCGTGTCATGTAATATCTCACATGAAATACTTACAGGTTGGCACCAAGCATGTGCCTAAAAATGGTGGCATGATGTCCCCTGGATAATATATTACATATACAATACTAAGAAGAAAGTATATATATCCAGTGTATAGTATTGTAGCGCTACCCCCCGAGGAGCCGCTGTAATGTTTGGGTCCTCCTGTCCTGCTCCAGTGATGACCCACCTCGTATCTGGACCTGAGTGACACCAAAACACTTGGAACGTTTGAAATGGGCTTTGTTAAAGAAGGCAAAAGCCATGCAAGTGACGTTATAGACATGACAGGTCAGGCAAAGAAGCGCAGTATCAGAACAGTATCAATCAATATTAGCATGTACAACTAGGGGCGGACTGACCATTTGGAAACTTGGGCAGTGCCGAGGGCCCAGGGTCAGTAGGGGGCCCCATGAGATGCCCCTGGTACCCTTTTCATAGGCTTTTTTGAGTTTGGGCAAGGAAACAGGGCCCCATGATCCCCTATTGCCCGGGGGCCCCATGAGTTGCCAGTCCGCCCCTGTGTACAACTAATTTGAAGATGACAGCCCAGTATATATGAGTTCGGCCTATCTACAAGCAGGGACGGACTGACCATTTGGAAACTCGGGCACTTCCTGAGGGCCCGGGGTCAGTAGGGGGCCCCATGAGATGCCCCTGGTACCTTTTTCATAGGTTTTTTTGAGTTTGGGCAAGGACACAGGGGCCCCATGATCCCCTATTACCTGGGGGCCCCATGAGTTGTCAGTCCGCCCCTGTCTACAAGCAAGAGGTTGTAGCTTATCCACTGCCCTCCCGACTTTTTCAGGTGGGAACGAGGGACACCTATTAGCAAAAGTATGTAGGCATAGGACAGACATAAAGGACAATCATACAAAAAAAAAAAAAAAGATTCGTGAAACCCACAAGAGCATTTTCTTTCCTTTTTACTGGCTTTTGAAATGTACAAATGCAGCAATTTAGAAAATGGATGAAAAGTTTAGCACTGGAAAAAACTTTTTGAAAATAAAAAGTGCATTTTATATACAACTATAGAGATCAAACCAAAATGAGGGACAAATGATGAGGAATGAGGGACAGATGGACTTTGTTCCAAATCAGGGACAGTCCCTCGAAATCAGGGACAGTTGGGAGCTATGACTGCCCAGTAGAACAGCTCAGACCTGCTGGCATTGGGGTCCTTCAGCTCTCTTGGTGGAGCGCTCATTCCCAACCGAGGGCATTTGTTATCCTCTGGGCGAGCCTGAGCGTAGTCAGGCTGGGTTTACTTTGGAAACTCATCAGCAAACAACAGCCAATAAACACACATTGGTGACCCATAGGCCTCTCACCACTCTGGAATTTTAGTGACGTCATCCCCTCCAAATCATGTGATTCAGGTGTTCCAATCCCCTCCATATCATGTGATTCAGGTGTTCCAATCCCCTCCATATCATGTGATTCAGGTGTTCCAATCCCCTTCAAATCATGTGATTCAGGTGTTCCTTTCCCCTCCAAATCATGTGATTCAGGTGCTCCAATCCCCTCCATATCATGTGATTCAGGTGCTCCAATCCCCTCCAATCATGTGATTCAGGTGTCCCAATCCCCTCCCAATCATGTGATTCAGGTGCTCTAATCCCCTCCATATCATGTGATTCAGGTGTTCCAATCCCCTCCATGGACACAGGTGTATACAATCAAGCCCCTAGGCATGCAGACTGCTTCTACAAACATTGGTGAAAGAATGGGTCGCTCTCAGGAGCTCAGTGACTCCAAGCGTGGTCCCGTGATAGGTGGCCACCTGGGCAATAAGTCCATCCGTGACATTTCCTGGCTACTAAATATTCCACGCTCAACTGTTAGTGGGATTATAACAAAGTGGAAGCCACTGGGAACAACAGCCACTCAGCCACCAAGTGGTAGGCCACGTCACATGACAGGGCGGGGTCAGCGCATGCTGAAGCACACAGTGCGCAGAAGTCACCAACTGTCTGCAGAGTCAATAGCTAAAGACCTCCAAACTTGGTGTGGCCTTCAGATGAGCCCAACAACAGTGCGTAGAGAGCTTCATGGAATAGGTTTCCATGGCCGAGCAGCTGCATCCCAGACTTCCATCACCAAGTGCAAAGCGTCGGATGCCGTGGTGTAAAGCACGCCACCACTGGACTCTAGAGCAGTGGAGACGTGTTCTCTGGAGGGACCAATCACACTTCTCTATCTGGCAATCCGATGGATATGTCTGGGTTTGGCGGTGGCCAGGAGAACGGTACTTTTCCTGACTATATTGTGCCAAGTGTAAGGTTTGGTGGAGGGGGGATTATGGTGTGGGGTTTTTTTTTTTTTTTCAGGGGTTGGGCTTGGCCCCCTAGTTCCAATGAAGGGAACTCTTAAGGCGACATTTTGGACAATTTCCTGCTCCCAACTTTGTGGGAAGAGTTTGGGGATGGCCCCTTCCTGTTCCAACATGACTGCGCACCAGTGCACAAAGCAAGGTCCATAAAGACATGGAGGAGCCAGTTTGGGGTGGAGGAACTTGACTGTCCTGCACAGAGTCCTGACCTCAACCCCATAGAACACCTTTGGGATGAATTGGAGCGGAGACTGCGAGCCAGGCCTCCTCCCCCCGACATCAGTGCCTGACCTGACAAATGTGCTTCTGGAAGAATGGTCCAACCTTCCCATAGACACCCTCCTAAACCTTGTGGACGGCCTTCCCAGAAGAGTTGAAGCTGTTATAGCTGCAAAGGGCGGGGCCAACTCAATATTGAACCCTACAGACTAAGACTGGGGGGCCATTAAAGGTCATGTGCGTGGAAAGGGTGGGGCCAACTCAATATTGAACCCTACGGACTAAGACTGGGGGGCCATTAAAGGTCATGTGTGTGGAAAGGGCGGCGCCAACTCAATATTGAACCCTACGGACTAAGACTGGGGGGCCATTAAAGGTCATGTGTGTGTGGAAAGGGCGGGGCCAACTCAATATTGAACCCTACGGACTAAGACTGGGGGGCCATTAAAGGTCATGCGCGTGGAAAGGGCGGGGCCAACTCAATATTGAACCCTACAGACTAAGACTGGAGGGCCATTAAAGGTCATGTGTGTGGAAAGGCCGGCGGCCCAATACTTTTGGTAATATAGTGTATATCACAAAGCAGTTTTCCAGCATTGTACTGTGTTAGTGATTGATTAATGCAGAAAGTTTGGGATTTAAGTGATCCCCTTTATTGGCTAACTTATGTTAACAAAGATGCGAGCTTCCAGGGTGCCTTAGATCCCTCAGCCAGGCTTTATACGCAGACGGGATATATCAATATTCAATATTCACATTCTTATTTGATCCCCTGCTTAGACACATCAAAAACAAACAAGTCCACTTATGATCCACAATGTTTCAATTCTCCTTTATCTTCATATGGGTACTTAATGTTGATACAACCACGTGGACAAGGCATTGATCCACCATATTTGTAATCCCATTTACTGCAAATCTGGGAATTTAGGAGCTTTCTAGTTTTGATGGTAAATCGACAAATCCACTTGTGAAATGCAGTGATCCCCGGTATAATTTCTAATCCAAAAATATCAAGGTGAACGCTGTAGAGGCTCAGATTGTTATGACTATTGAAGCGTGGCTTTGTGTCCAACTCAGCAGAAAGAAGGTGCAATGTGGGACTTCAGCTTTGTATAAGGAGTCCTATTGGTTAACTGTTCAAGTCTCTATCCTGTCTTGTCATCCAGAGTTCCGCGGAACTATAGGGTGCTTCCAGAGGTTGGTAGAGATTTCTTGAGCTTTGGCTGATTGACCTCCTATTTGATGGGGACTGCACAGTTCTGGGACCAACACTACTTGACCACCAATGTAAGGGACATTCTTCCCACTGACCCCCAATGTAAGGGACATTCTTCCCACTGACCCCCAATGTAAGGGACATTCTTCCCACTGACCCCCAATGTAAGGGACATTCTTCCCACTGACCACCAATGTAAGGAACATTCTTCCCACTGACCATCAATGTAAGGGACATTCTTCCCCCTGACCCCCAATATAAGGGACATTCTTCCCACTGACCCCCAATGTAAGGGACATTCTTCCCACTGACCACCAATGTAAGGGACATTCTTCCCACTGACCCCCAATGTAAGGAACATTCTTCCCACTGACCTCCAATGTAAGGGACATTCTTCCCATGACCCCCAATGTAAGGGACATTCTTCCCACTGACCACCAATGTAAGGGACATTCTTCCCACTGACCCGCAATGTAAGGAACATTCTTCCCACTGTCCACCAATGTAAGGGACATTCTTCCCACTGATCACCAATGTAAGGGACATTCTTCCCACTGACCACCAATGTAAGGGACATTCTTCCCACTGACCCGCAATGTAAGGAACATTCTTCCCACTGTCCACCAATGTAAGGGACATTCTTCCCACTGATCACCAATGTAAGGGACATTCTTCCCCTGACCCCCAATGTAAGGGACATTCTTCCCACTGACTCCCAATGTAAGGGGCATTCTTCCCATTGACCACCAATGTAAGGGACATTCTTCCCACTGACCTCCCATATAAGGGACATTCTTCCCACTGACCCCCAATGTAAGGGACATTCTTCCCACTGACCACCAATGTAAGGGACATTCTTCCCACTGACCCCCAATGTAAGGGACATTCTTCCCACTGACCCCCAATGTAAGGGACATTCTTCCCACTGACCCCCAATGTAAGGGACATTCTTCCCACTGACTCCCAATGTAAGGAACATTCTTCCTACTGACCCCCAATGTAAGGGACATTCTTCCCACTGACCCCCAATGTAAGGGGCATTCTTCCATTGACCCCCAATGTAAGGGACATTCTTCCCACTGACCCCCAATGTAAGGGACATTCTTCCCACTGACCCCCAATGTTAGGAGCATTCTTCCCACTGACCCCCAACGTAAGGAACATTCTTCCCTCTAACCCCCAATGTTAGGAGCATTCTTCCCACTGACCCCCAATGTAAGGGACATTCTTCTCTGACCACCAATGTAAGGGGCATTCTTCCCACTGACCCCCAATGTAAGGGACATTCTTCCCACTGACCCCCAATGTAAGGGACATTCTTCCCACTGACCCCCAATGTAAGGGACATTCTTCCCACTGACCCCCAATGTAAGGGACATTCTTCCCACTGACCACCAATGTAAGGGACATTCTTCCCACTGACCACCAATGTAAGGGACATTCTTCCCACTGACCACCAATGTAAGGGACATTCTTCTCACTGACCCCCAATGTAAGGGACATTCTTCTCACTGACCCCCAATGTAAGGGACATTCTTCCTACTGACCCCCAATGTAAGGGACATTCTTCCCACTGACCCCCAATGTAGGGGACATTCTTCCCACTGATCCCCAATGTAAGGGACATTCTTCCCACTGACCACCAATGTAAGGGACATTCTTCCCACTGACCCCCAATGTAAGGGACATTCTTCTCTGACCACCAATGTAAGGGACATTCTTCCCACTGACCACCAATGTGAGGGACATTCTTCCCACTGACCCCCAATGTAAGGGACATTCTTCCCACTGACCCCCAATGTAAGGGACATTCTTCCCACTGACCCCCAATGTAAGGGACATTCTTCCCACTGACCACCAATGTAAGGGACATTCTTCCCACTGACCACCAATGTAAGGGACATTCTTCCCACTGACCACCAATGTAAGGGACATTCTTCTCACTGACCCCCAATGTAAGGGACATTCTTCTCACTGACCCCCAATGTAAGGGACATTCTTCCTACTGACCCCCAATGTAAGGGACATTCTTCCCACTGACCCCCAATGTAGGGACATTCTTCCCACTGATCCCCAATGTAAGGGACATTCTTCCCACTGACCACCAATGTAAGGGACATTCTTCCCACTGATCCCCAATGTAAGGGACATTCTTCCCACTGACCACCAATGTAAGGGACATTCTTCCCACTGACCCCCAATGTAAGGGACATTCTTCTTACTGACCACCAATGTAAGGGGCATTCTTCTCCCTAGAGGGGCCAGCTCTAGAGCATCCTTTGCCATGCACGAGGTCCCGCTCTGCCGGCAATGCCTCCTCATCCCTTATTGTCCAGCCCCAATGCTTCCCTTGGGCTGTGTCTTCATTTCTAGAAAGTGGGTCGGCTTTGTCTGCCTGGTCTACTTGCTTCCTTTTGGCCAGTGGCACTGTACACCCGATATGGATGTCAAAAGCCAACTGCCCTGGGCTTGTCAAAGTACTTTTTACATGGGCTGTGTGCTGCACACTGAGCCTAGACCCTTGATACTGACTGTTCCTGACCTGCATTGCTATATTGTCTGCTGCCTGCTCCATTAATATGTTATCGTCTGCTGCCTGCCCTGACCTCCGCCTGTACCTGGGTTATATAATTTGTTGCCTGCCCTGACATCTGCCTGTCCCTTTAATATGGTATTGTCTGCTGCCTTTTCTGAGCTCTGTGTTCATGGATTATGTTATCATCTGCTGCCTGCCCTGATCTCCACTTTACCCTGAATTATGTTATCATCTGCTGCCTGTCCTGACCGTTACCTGTCCCTGGATTATGTTATAGTCTGAGGCCTTCCCTGGCTTCTACCTGTCCCTGGATTATGTTATAGTCTACTGCCTACCCTGACCACTACCTTTCCCTGGATTATGTTATAGTCTGCTGCCTGCCCTGACCACTACCTGTCCTAGAATTATGTTATAGTCTGCTGCCTGCCCTGACCACTACCTTTCCCTGGATTGTGTTATAGTCTGCTGCCTGCCCTGACCCTTACCTGTCCCTGGATTATGTTATAGTCTGCTGCCTGCCCTGACCTCTACCTGTCCCTGAATTATGTTATAGTCTGCTGCCTGCCCTGACCTCTATCTGTCCCTGAATTATGTTATAGTCTGCTGCCTGCCCTGACCTCTACCTGTCCCTGAATTATGTTATAGTCTGCTGCCTGCCCTGACCTCTACCTTTCCCTGGATTATGTTATAGTCTGCTGCCTGCCCTGACCACTACCTGTCCCTGAATTATGTTATAGTCTGCTGCCTGCCCTGACCTCTACCTGTCCCTGAATTATGTTATAGTCTGCTGCCTGCCCTGACCTCTACCTTTCCCTGGATTATGGTATAGTCTGCTGCCTGCCCTGACCACTACCTGTCCCTGAATTATGTTATAGTCTGCTGCCTGCCCTGACCTCTACCTGTCCCTGAATTATGTTATAGTCTGCTGCCTGCCCTGACCTCTACCTTTCCCTGGATTATGGTATAGTCTGCTGCCTGCCCTGACCACTACCTGTCCCTGAATTATGGTATAGTCTGCTGCCTGCCCTGACCTATACCTCTCCCTGGATTATGTTATAGTCTGCTGCCTGCCCTGACCTCTACCTTTCCCTGGATTATGGTATAGTCTGCTGCCTGCCCTGACCACTACCTGTCCCTGAATTATGGTATAGTCTGCTGCCTGCCCTGACCTATACCTCTCCCTGGATTATGTTATAGTCTGCAGTTTGGGAAAGAGGAGGAAGACGCCCCACAATGTTCTATAGAAAGAAGGGGGGACTCAACCCTGAAGAACCCCACATTACAGTGATCTATATAAAGAAGGGGGGACTCACCCCTGCAGAACCCCACATTACACTGATTTATATAAAGAAGGGGGTACTCCCCCTGCAGAACCTCACATTACACTGATCTATATAAAGAAGGGGGTACTCCCCCTGCAGAACCTCACATTACACTGATCTATATAAAGAAGGGGGGACTCACCCCTGCAGAACCTCACATTACACCGATTTATATAAAGAAGCGGGGCTCCCCCTTGTGGAACCCCACATTAAAGTGATCTATATAAAGAAGGGGGACTCACCCCTGCAGAACCCCACATTACACCGATTTATATAAAGAAGGGGGTACTCACCCCTGCAGAACCCCTCACATTACACCGATTTATATAAAGAAGGGGGTACTCACCCCTGCAGAACCTCACATTACACTGATTTATATAAAGAAGGGGGACTCACCCCTGCAGAACCCCACATTACACCGATTTATATAAAAAGGGAAAGGACATGCCCCTGCGGAACCACAAATTATACTGATATATATAGAGGGTGAGGACTTGCCCCTGCGGAACCCCACTGACCTAAACCTCATTTACACCCCCTAAATTAGTGGATATCGTTATTATGGGTAATTATGTGTGGGCTTATCCGATTCATTCCTGTGCATCCAATCTTCATGCTCCATGTCTCTGGGGGCGTGGCAGGGGGTGTGTGTACCTTTTCTGACATACTTTGTGCTAAAGGCGTCCCTCTTTGCTATCCCATTAAGTTGAGAGTGCAGAGAAAGTGCGAGAAATGACGAATTTGGGGTTGTCCCCAGAACAGGAACAGCGGCCCACACAGCCGCATCATCACTTCTTCACAGAGATCGGTGAATGAATGAACTACAAGTCCCATATTCCCCTACGGCAGGGCTTGTAGTTCTCAATGATCTGATCGTGGGTGCAATGCAAGCTCCAAGGTAAAAAAAAAAGGAGAAGGAGAAGGAGGAGAAGGAGGAGGAGAAGGAGGAGAAAGAGGAGAAGGAGAAAAGAGAGAAGAAAGAGAAAAAGGAGGAGAAGGAGAATAAGGAGGAGAAGAAGGAGGAAAAGGAGAAGAAGGAGAAGGAGAAAAGAGAGAAGAAGAAGGAGAAGGAGGAGAAGAGGGAAAAAAGGAGAAGAAGGACAATAAGGAGAAGAAGAAGGAGAAAAAGGAGGAGAAGGAGGAGAAGAAGAAGAAGAAGAAGGAGGAGGAGAAAGAGGAGGAGAAAAAGAAGAAGAAGAAGAAGAGGAAGAAGGAGGAGAAGGAGAATAAGGAGGAGAAGAAGGAGAAGAAGAAGAAGGAGGAGGAGGAAAGAGGAGGAGAAAAAGAAGAAGAAGGAGAAGGAGAAGAAGAAGACATTTTTTTTTACCAGCAAAATGTATTTTTTTATTTTATTAAAGGTGAACTTATCCTTGTAACATGTGTGCAAAAAAAAACCCCCAAAATTGAATCTGGCAGCAAAAGTGTTAACCCATCCCGGGGGGGGGGGGGGGGGGGGCGGGTCACCCAGCAAGCTGAACCTGCACACCCAGCTTATACATCCCACCAGGATGGTGCAGACCCCCTTACTGTAGAAGAGGCATGCATGGTGTAGCGGCCTGCTCACACATTTTCATGGTTTCCTTGGAGTTCCACTTTAAATGGAATATTTTAGTCTGATGCTGGAGACACTTTCTCTGCACAAACTCTATTTTTCATTAAAAAAAAAGGAAAGTGAAGGCAGAGGCTTGCAGTTCCCTCATTCGTCCACTAGGTGTCAGGCGTCGCTATGGTACTGCAGACATCCTCCCCCCCTCCCAGCTCCCAGCTCCCTCCATCCCTCCTCCTTATCCAGCTCTTTGGGCTCCAGCAGATGCAGCAGCAGCATTCCCCAGTTCACCATCCACGGAGCAGCAGCCAGGCTGAGCTGGAGGCAGGCAGGGAACTGGGCAGAGAGGAGAGCCTTGCAGGGGGCATTGCACACCCCACCTGGCACAGAGCTGCAAGGCACCAGCTGCAGAACTTCTCACCCTGGCATTGCCCACCTTTAGGGCACATAAACTTTCTGCTGAAGATCCTGGACATGGGGATGTAAGGCTTCCAAGGAGACTCTGTGCCATCAACTTCACTGCCCTGGGGATCTAAGTGAAGGCTCTGGAACCCTCCATGTAGAGGGATCACCATCCTGCCTGGCAAACAGGTTGGCATTGGGGGGAGCACAGCTGTCTACACATCTCTCTCCAGTCCTACCCACAAGGATTACAAGCAGAGAATGCCCGGAGGACACGGCTGGCACAGCCTTCTATGGATAACCATGCTGGCACTGGTGGGCAAAGCCTCGGCTCAAGGTAGGCACCTCTCTTTGTAGGGTGGGCATGCTTCCAGAGGGCACCGCGAGCAGCCATCGCAGCCAGCACCCCTCTGTGCCAGGCATGAATTGTAATACATACAGAGCAATGATTGCCAGGTGCATGGGGTGCAATCAGACACAGGTGTGGGTTTTTGTGTGTTGCTGTGACCTGGGGGATCTGGATGTTGGCATTGTTGGGTGGCTGGCAATTGGTAGCTTTGGCTGATTCTGGTT